AGGTAGAATTTACCCTCTTCCCCATTATCTGTGGGGAATGGTATCTTATAAATTTAATTTAACTATTTTTATTTTATTATTTTAAAATTAAATAATTTAAATAGTTTAATTAAAGTAAAAATAAATAAATTTGGTTTGATTTAAAATAATTTATTTTTAATATTAAATTAAATTTAAAATAATTAAGTAACGACTATACCTATTACTATGTGTTAAATATTTGAATTGCATTTGATTTAATATTTTTTTATTTTTTTAATATTTCACGTATTGAAGAGGTCTCGTCAAGTCTTCACAAAATGAGAAAAATTCTTTGCGAAATTTCACAGAAATAACGTACTCCGTCCCCACCCTGAGAAATGTTTATGGAGAAAACAGTCAAAACACTCCCGTCCCCGTCCCTGTTGAGAATTTTTAGAGATAAAATATAATATAATCCCGACCCCACCCTGCTCCTGGGGTCGGGATCCCTCGAAGAAATTAGCATCTCTACTCTCTGGAGTGGGAAATGGGAATCCAAATTATTTGCCTTCGATCCCAACTAAAGATAATTTGATGTGCACCACCAGCCAAGTATATACTAACCAAAAGGGAAAAAATGAAAAAATCTAAGCTTCAGCTTCACAACAGGAAATAGGAATAGGAATGACTCAGGAATATTGGGCGGACAAGAGCACTGGAGCAAGGTGACTGGAAATAAATGAAAATATTTAATTGATAAAATTAAAATTTATTCAAATAATTAACAAAGTTAATTTTATATTTATTTTAAACAAAATCAACAATAATAAAGTCAATTAATTTTAATTGTTGAAAGGTGTGGCTTTTTCTCTACACCTACACCAACAAGATTCAGAGAAATCCCAGCCCAGTGGCATCATCAAACCCTAGCTGGCTAGCTTCAAGCTTCCAGCCGGAGAGAAGATAACTGAAAGAAATGGCTCTGTGGCGGAGTCTCTCAGCTCCATGGAGGCTCCTTCACCCATTCATCTGCCCGTCCGCCAACACCAACATTTCGCATCGTTGTTTCTCCTCTCCCTGCACTCTCTTTTTATCCCATTCTGTCCTATTCTTCTTTTTATTTTGGGTTTATTTGTGTTTCCCGTTTTGGGTGCTGGGTCATTCCTATAATCGTTACAGAAAACGAAACAAAAATTCAGTCTTTTATTTTTATTTTCTTTTTCCTTTTCTTTTTCTTTTTTCCAATGACATAGTTCTCAGATAACATTGTGCATAGATTTGTTGCTTTGCAGCTGTATAGAGGAGTCACAATGTTGCATTGTTTCAACGTTTTAAAAGTCATCGAATCAACATTTGTTAAGATAATTAACTTCTTCTGGTACAGCTAGCATTAATAACTTTTACTTTCCAAACCCCTCCCAGGCCCACCGTTCTAGGATTCTAGCAGATGGATTCAACCTTGAGTGGTGGGGGAGGTGGGTGCTGGGTCATTCCTATAATCGTTACAGAAAACGAAACAAAAATTCAGGCTTTTATTTTCTTTTTCTTTTTTCCAATGAAATAGTTCTCAGATAACATTGTGCATAGATTTGTTGCTTTGCAGCTGTATAGAGTCACAATGTTGTATTGTTTCAACCATTTTAAAAGTTATCGAATCAACATTTGTTAAGAAAAAAGGTAATTAACTTGTTCTGGGTACAGCATCAATAACTTTGACTTTCCAAACCCCTCCCAGGCCCACCGTCCTAGGATTCTAGCAGATGGATTCAAACTTGAGTAGTGGGGAAGGGGTAATTAACTTGACTTCTTATGCTTTAATTAATTCTTCCTATCATGCAATGGTACATGGAAAATGATTACTAAGGGTTATGAAACTTATAATTACTTGTAGTAAGAATGTTATACAATCCTAATTCTAAAGAATAATGATGATTTTATTGTTCATTATAGAAAAAATTAAAATAAGTGAATATTAGTAGAAAAAACTAAAATAAACGCATAAATTTTTATTATTTAGAGATGATTAATCTAATTATCTAAAAAACCTTTATATAGTTTATTAAATAAAACCTTGATACAAATCATCATAAGGACTCCATAGTAACTTTATAATCTCCGACTGTATAATTAATCAATTCATTAACTTTAAGTAATTGATTTCATATCTTTTTATATCTGTAATATTCATGCATCATGCATGGTTTTGAATTTTGATTGAACTGAAGGGTGCAAATATAAGTAGAATTAAACATAAGCGGGGCCGGGTAATGGAATTGGTATTTATTTCCAACAAGAGCATCAAGAGCAAAAGAGGCAAAGACGTAGTAGCTTGGTAGGATTAACATTAAGAAGAAATTATAAGAAACTAGAAAACACGCGCGCGCGTTTATTTTGAAGCGACGATGGAATCACATGATTGAACAGGGATTTGGGTTTGGATCACAGACCACTAGTTCTTGGCACGTGGGAGGATAACAGTACCATATTGGTGGAATGATCTCAGTGGGAGGATCAGGTTTTTTTGGCGGCGGTTGATCAGCTTTTGCTTGAGCTTTCTCTTCTTGCACAGAGATTATGGTCGCATATCCAACCCTTTTCCTGAGTATACAGGTGAGAGCAACTGAATCAATTCCATCTCCGGTCACAACCAGCTCATTTTTGTCTGCCCCTTGTATTGCCACCGAGTTCAGACCTGTCAGGATGATCAGCGAAGGAAAGAAATTAATAATTACGAGATTAATTTACAAGCAAAATCAAAATTGCGTTTCCTGTAATTAATTAACATGGTGTGTATATACACACACACACACTAACCATCTGTTCCAGCAGCAATCTTGAGGGCCTTGGTTCTGCATTTGTCGCATTTTAGTTGTACTTGGATGACTATCTTTTTCTGCAACATTAAATTAATTAACAATTTAATACATTAAAACTTACTTCTGTTGCTTTTCAAAAAAAAAAAAATCATAATAACTGAAATTAAAGTATTGAGATAAGAGAGAAAAAAAGAAAAGGAAGAAACAGGCCTGCCTCACCGGCATGTTCGTTTGTTTGACACAGAGAGGATGAGTATGAGGTGGTTTTATTTAGGATTATAATTGGTGCACACCCGGATATTGAATCTGAGTGTGCACACCGAATGTTGAATCCAAATGTGCACACATTATTTTCCTTTTATTTATAGCCTAAGCCTTCATTCATCCTGAAAAAATTTGATGTGCTTGGGGTTTGAAGACCTAGTCAACATTACTGCATACATTAGAGGCCTTTCCCAGAAAATTATCAATTTTTTTGTCTGTAGGACAATTTGGTAAAGATCAAAGTCGGTTATCTGCCTGTACGTTCTTTTGGACTGCTAAATGCGGTTTCGCATTATTTTACATTTTATTTATTATATATTTAGATTGAAAGGAATAAGAAAGAGAGAAAGAGAAATAAAGATTTTTTTTTTTGAATAATTCAACTTTCGGTAATTTAAAAACATATAACCAAATGGTACGGTGCATTTAAAGAAATCAATTTTACTTTCTTTTTTTTTACTTTCTACCATGTGACGATTTCGAATCCGCACAAGGGAAGAGGAGAAAATGCACTTTTTAATTGATAGTATCATTAGGTTTCTAAAGTAAAGTGCAATCAATTTTATTAATTATTAACTTCAAAATCTAAAATTTAGATTTAATTTATAAAATGACATTTATTTACCTACTACTCCGAGTCTTGAAGTTGGTTTCACATTATTGTGCCTACCAAATAACATGTTTTAAAACAACACTGCCCTCTTTTTATTCTAAAGATGATAAGAGGTTTTATAAGGTTGAGATGTATCTACTTATTCCTATTCCTACAAGGATTTTTCATAAGAGTAGAATTTACCCTTGTTCCTATTATCTGAAGGGAAATGGTATCTTATAAAATTAATTTAACTATTTTTATTTTATTATTTTAAAACTAAATATTTTAAAAAGTTGAACTAAAGTAAAAAAATATTAAATTTGGTTTGATTTAAAATAATTGAATTTTAGTATTAAATTAAATTTAAAATAAGGAGTATACCTCTTACTATGAATTAATAAATATTTAAATTGTATTTGATTTAATATTTTTTTTATTTTTTATTTTTAATATTTCACATATAGAAGAGGTCTCCACAAGTCTTCACAAAATGAGAAAAATTCTTTGGGAAATTCCACAGAAAGAACATATTCCTGTTCCCATCCTGACTGAGAATATATTTTTAAAGGGAAAACACTCCCGTTTCCATCCCAATTGAGAAATTTTACAAAGAAAACATACTCCCGTCCCCACCCTGCTCCTAGGGTGGGGATCCCTCGAAGAAATTACTATCTCTACTCTCTGGAGTGGGAAATGGGAATCCAAATTATTTGCCTTCGATCCCAACTAAAGATAAATTTGATGTGCACCAACCAAGTGTATACTAACCAACGAAAAAAAAAAAAAAAAAAGAGATCTAAGCTTCTGCTTCACAACAGGAACTAGGAATAGGAATGACTCAGGAAGATTGGGTGCACAAAAGTACCGGAGCAGGGTGACTGGAAATAAATGAAAATATTTAATTAATAAAATTAAAATTTATTAAACTAATTAACAAAATTAATTTCATTTTCATTTTAAACGAAAACAACAATAGTAAAGTCAATTTTAATAGTAACGCAGTAGTTTTTTTAATGAGTATAAATTAATCATCAAGTATCTTTTATCAACAATTAAAAAAATGTCAAATTTGAACAAAAACTTTTTAAAAATAAAAATATTTGAAGTATGAAACTGTACAAGAGTATTTTTATCGATAGATATACATTTTTATATTTAATCCTTTGACACTCTAAATATATGTT